GTTTACAGTTGTGATATCGTGAGATGTTATATTGTGACTTTATTTTAGGCCTGTGTAAGGCGGTAATTAATTCTTTATGTTATTGTCATTAAGTGGGTAATGTGTCACAAAACAAATAATCAAAACATTTCAGAGGTGGGGGTGCCAAAAGTGTCCTTGCCCCCAGGTGCTGAGAACCCTTGCTACGCCGCTGTATGTGTATGCTCATAAAGGTACTATATTTATACAATGTACCTATATGTGGAGCCTTTAAACACTGGATTGGAACTATACTGGAATAATACATAGACTGGATTTTGTAACCACATGAGTTTTATACATACATCCAAATGCAATGCATGTTGGTTAGTACTTATATGTATACACACACACACATGCAGGCTTAATGTTTTAAGTTGTAAAGCAATATAGATATACAGATAGAAAGCCATATGAATTTTTCAAGCTGTATAGATGCATGCAAATATATTCAATGTAGATATAAGACAATGTCTCTGTCAAAATATAATAGGATATGTACACAAGTATGTATTTTTAATATATCTTATAGCTGTTACATCTCCCACTTCCTCTTTGCTGTCCACAGTAAGGCCTTTCATAATTCTGCTGTAGCTGGCCAAGTTTCCTTTTACAGTGATATTCTGCAAGCTCTACAAGGTTGAAAATGTGATAGAAAATTTCTGATAGAGTTTGAGTCATGACGTTTCTATGATCCTGTTTCACTGTGATGAACCTAAACTCTGGTAGGCCGTAGCTGCCGCCCAGAATCACCATAATTTTTGCCATCTCCTGCTTGCATGATTCTTGCCACTCCTTATAGTCATACTTACTAGAAAATTCGCAATCATGCATTGTTGGCTATAATTTGACACATACCATAAGCTATCACTATGAATACTGATCTGATGCTTGAAACTGAGCTTGGTGCTATCTTTTAAACTATGGCTTAAAGGTTTCTGCTGTGGGAGACAGCCTAGACATTTGTGTAACATTTTAAATGTTTGTGTAACATGACCAAAATCAATCATGCAGTGTTAAAAAAAAAACAAAAAAACGTGATCCTGTCAGTAGCATCTTGTCTGAAAGGGCAGGAACCCTATAGATAAACAAATGATATGCAACATCAATACAGTTGTAACAATAAATTAATAAATAACTATGGCACATATGTCATGTCTGCCATATAAACATTAAATTACATCAATTGGCTGCACACAGCTATATATATATGAATGTTATAGATTATGGGACTCCATATAAACCACATACTATATTAAAATGATTGGGTGGCAACAGTTAAACAGCTGCTGTTACTTGTTAGGTACTTATATAAATTTAAAAAGTACCCTACAAAATGTGCAATGATGCATTTAGTAATAATGCCCAGGTTTTGTTACAATAATCACAACCATTTTTGCTGTAGGTTGGCAGAACAATATTAAACAATGACAAAGAAGAACAAATGGGTAATCCCTATTATGAACCATTACAGTGGTTCATGATAAGTTTTTCCATGTTTTCTTACTTAAGCTTGTTTTCATCCTCTATGGTAGTGGTTATCAAACTTTTTTAAAGATCACAACCTCACCCCCATAAAGTTTCTTTTCTAGGTTAATTTAATATTTCGCTAACAACAAAGTTTAATTAAAGACGTGAAAAAAAGCTTTTAGTAATTTCAAAATAACTGCCTTATACTTAGGTAAGACAACATAAAAACAAATGCAAAAAAACAATTAAGTAAATTTATAACTAATGTTGGAAATGTCACTATATGATTTTACCTTAAGCCCTTGAGCTAATATATCAGCTGTAGTAGGACTAGTACAAGGACTATGAGGTAAGCCTACATCTTCATCATCTGAATCTCGTCTTTGTCGAACCCTGTTGAAGAGCTCCTCCTGAAAAATTAGCACAGATCTAATCTTCTATTAGTAACATGCAAGGTATCACTTTTTAAATAAGATGTAAGTAAGAAAATTCCAACAAACCACTTAATGTCTGTTACATAATTCCTGATCATTACAACTCATTCTTCTAACTAGTAAAGTATACTTAAACCTTGTGAAAAGCACCTAACTTTTATATATATATATTTTTTCTTTTTTACACAAAGTAATAAATGACACACTAAACAGTTACAGAGTTTATGTTGGAAATAATGTTCAAAACTTATCAGAGTTAAAAAAAACAAAAAACAAGAGCATACCAGGTGCAATATTTCATCCATAAACTTCCAAAATAATGAAATATATTTAGGTACACAAAGTCAAATTTTTGGTAATTGTATCAAACAGATCATTTCCAAAAGCAATATATACACTTCCATAGTACAACAAATCTTGAATTCAGGAATTAGGTTTTTTAAAGTCTCAAAACTTCATATAATTGTATAGTAGTCAATCAAAGTACAAAGTAAATTTAAGATACCTTTATTACCAACAACCATTCCAAAGAAAATTTTGCTTGGGGTAAAAATTACCAGATATCAATGTTCCTGAATATAGTGAAACAAACTTCCTCAAATGATTAACATAAATACAATTTAGACACAAATAGTAAGAGTATCTGAAAAATGTTTACAAAATAAAGAAGATTGAAAATTAATAGCTCTACAACAATGTTTAGAAAAAAATAGTTTCAGCTAAACCACAAAAGAAACAGCTGGTATTATAAATTAAAGATTTCTGTTCAACATATACATTATTGTTAAATCAAAGAAGTTTCATCAAAAAATTAGGCCATGGTTTTAGAATCATAATTCTAACTAATTCTCAATAAAATAATATTTTTAAAATAAATTTTAGTAACAACAGTTTTGTGTAATTGAAAATTAGAATGACAAATATTAAAAACCCTAAGGGAGGTTTAATAAAAGTCTATTAAATTAGACATATGTAATTATTTCCTAAGTAAAACTTTTCAACCTTCCTCCATTCATATATGGCATATTATAATTATTTTCTAATTGTATTTTAACTTCACAAAGGAAATTATATGCTTTCTAAAATATTTTAACAAATGTTTGAAAGGTTAAGGAGACCAAGAAATACACATTTTGTTAATATTTTAGAAGTATTTTGCAATGCCGGGTTCAGACCTATATGTAAATAGATTCTAAGAAATTTGAAAAATCTGTCACACAACTTTCAATTGCAATTATGGTAAAAACTAACAAGATTTTTTTTATATTTTTCAAAATTACTACACAAACTAAAAAGTTTTACCAGAAGTGTTTAAGGAAGTTAGCCATTAATAAACAAGCAAGTATATTTTTGTAGGTGTTAACCTTTTCACAAAGGGTACTCTTTTAAACACTTTTCTGTGCAAGTCACTGTGTTACATTCAAAATATAATTTACACCTTTACTATCATATGCATGTGAATGAAATTAACATTATAATGTATGTTATGATTTGAAGTTTATGTTATCTAAATTTTAAATCCTATATTTCAAAATAAACTTTTAAAAAACTACTTGAACCACATATTTATTGTCACATGACAAATAAGCTATAAAAATTCTCTACTTTTGCACTATATCTTCAATAATACAATGGCAGTACTGTAAATGTACATCTAGACTATAAGATGCTTACATAACCTTTTGACTCGTATAGTTCAAAGTTCTCTGAATGAATGCAATTGAAACAAGTAATACATTTTTTTAACCCTTGACAGGTGCCATGCCCACCTTCAAGAGATTTGTTTGAGCTTTATAGCCTGCGTGTAGATGTTACATATGCATGTGTATAATTATTAGAAAGAGCACATTTTACAGTATAATCTAACAATAGTTATTTTGAAATTGGCATCCAGTTTTCATCATGGATTACATGTAACTGACTATTATTGTTTGCTGCTTGATCAAGTATAGCAGTTATGATTGTTTTTACCTAAATATGTTATAGTTAGAGATACAGTTTACATCGTATTTAAGTCTTACTTTTATATTTATTTAATTATGTGTTAGTTATGTTTTAAAGTGCATAATTAATAGGTTTACACATTTTGTAAATATACATCATACTTTGCATCAGTTCTGAAGGGTTATGATATTATGTGGTGCATAAAAAAATTTTCCAAAGAGTTGTGCATCTGTGCCAGAGACAATGTAAAATGCCTTGAGTGCACCATTGATTTGTGTCAAGATGAACAATAAATGGTAAAGGATAAAAAACGAAAATAAAACATTAAATTAACTATATGTGAAAGGAAAAAGACCTGAAATTACAAATTTAAAAATATGGAAAATCTTTAAAGATATTCTACAAAAATTAAAAGGCATTTTTTTCTTCTATTTTCTAATTTTAATTATTTCATTGCATTGTATGTTGATGATAATAGCTAGAGTTAGTGATATGATAGAGAAAATGAAAAAAATGTACCATAAAAAACTCTTGATATCCTTTTAAGACATTTTAACGATTATGCAAATTAAATATGAAAACTATAAGATGAGGAAAAGTATTTTTATACTTAAAATGAAAGTCACCTTGGACTCGATTTGTTAATAGTTTGAGTGCAAATTACTACAATAAATAAATAACATATTTTTATTAAAAACAATTAATTATAATAATGTCATTCTTTGTATATAAGATAGTTATGATCTTTAACAAAATCTTACTAGTTTTTGAGAGGATACGTTAAGAAATCTCAGAGTTACCATATGTATTATTGTACAAGTGAAATTTGCGACACCATTTCTACAATTCACATGAGCCAATCATCAAACGGTTAAAAGAATGTTAAATAACTTTAAAATTTACTTTATGAATTACCCTGAGATTCAACACCTAACAATAAAAATTGTCTAGAATGTACATACAAAAAGATGACTAAAAAGAAAGTCACAATTTCATAGAAGTGTTATTCTGCGAAGACACCACATGGTTCCTTTTAAGGTATTTACAATAAGAATTCATTAAAATTTGTATTAAAACTTTTTTCCAACATAGGCATAAGCAAATCAGTAAAGACAACTGAAAGATGCTTCACTAAATATGTTAGTAAAATTGCTAGTACATAAAAGTAATTTTATTTTAGATTCCTTATTAAGAGAGGAAGAGCAATAAATTTTAATTTCTATACAATATGGTTAAACAAAGTGACCTTTACGAAAGGCATGAGTGTCCATTTTAATTACAATTACCTTGTCTTATTATGACTACTCAATGATAAAATTAAAAGTATTTAACGTAAATTTCATCTTAAATTTACACAAGCTAAGTTTGCTTACTCTTTGTCACTCAACAATTTTGGGTGAAAATGTTAAACTTAAAGAATACATACTTCAAACTTTTGCTTACCCTGACAAATTTAAAATTAGCACTATTGGCACTACTGAGTTAAAGTAATATTTAATTTTTTTAACACATACCCTTCTTACATCATGTCTTTAACTTAGTATCTTCTTTTTTGTTTTCTATTATGCTTTCATATGGAAAACAACTACTAAATGAAAGAATATTAATCATTTTCAAATCATGAAAAAATAATGTAAAAATGTATTTCAATCCAAGTGAAAGACTTAGAAAAAGATTCTAAAATTTTGTGATAAAACACTTCAAAAGGTTTGCTTCAATCTAAATCTTGTATTTGAAAAAAAAGTTTCTCATACTGTCCAAAACTTATGTGCTTACAACTCAGCATTTTAAACCTTAACTTGAACATCTGAAAAACTCCTGATATCTCATTCTACTACTGGATGAACAAAAATACAAAAACTGTTCCACCAAAAAATGTGATCTTCTTTAATGTAGCTTACATTCACCTATCTTTATAAAAAAGAAATAAAAGAAGTTTCAACACTATTATTACTTTCTTTTTTAGCAAAATAAATAAAATGAGGTATTAAATGAACAATTGACTCTCCTTTATCCATGCATGTATTATTCAGCTTTTGGTTTAACCCAGCCACAATCCAAGAAATCCAACAAGTTGTTATATTTCAGTATAGCTTTGAACTGCTGTTGCCATAGATTCTATTAATTTTGCTCACTTTTCCCTTAATTTAGAGGGTGCTATGGAAGAGAGAACAAGTTGGAAAGATAAGCTGTTATAGATTTTTGAATATTATTTAATATTATCATTTGTAGTGACTTGGGATGAACAACAAAACATGAACTAGATTTAGGTAGATTGGTAAATAAAAAGAAGTAGGGTTAAAGTTTTAGATAAGAGCTTAGTGGCTTAATCTGTACAAGAATGTTAGATTAGGCTTAGGATGTGTAATTTTACTGTTATGACATCGGAAGTCATGCGACACTGGGAGCACGTGCGAAGGAGTTTCTAGAAGGATCATGACTTATCAAGGAACCTCGTGAATGTCCGAGTGTTCGCCAGGCGCCCTCTTTTTTTAGTATATAAGCCTGGCAAATAAAGCCAGCAATAGATAGAGATATAAATAGATTGAAGAGATATATAACTGAGTCAAGCGAACATTAGGCACTGTAAATAAAGTGTGTG